ACATAAGACCTTCAAACCAAGGCCAGCGGTATAGGAAAGGGTCACAAGCTGGGCCAAGGCAGGTCCAACCACGGAGGTTATCTCAGTTGCGGCAGAGGCAGCTTTCGGCAGCTCCCCATCTCCGTCGTGACGGGAGGGCAGCCGGGCATCGGCTTCGTGCTGAAACAGCCCCTGGGCTTTGGAGGGCGCGGGGCAAAGAGGCTACGGCTTCTGCGCAAGTGAGCGCAGGATAGGAAGAGGGCAGAAGCTGAGGCTGAAAGGATTGGAGAGGGAGGAAGGACAGCTGTCCGTAGGCGGTGGGTCCGCAGGCGGCCCCGAGACCTGACTGCCGGCTCAGCAGAACTGAGGAGACTTTCAGCAGGCTTCTGGGTGTGAGATCGATTCTTGGCAAAACCGCCAAGTTCCTGGGTGAGCTCTGCGGAGCGAGGCAGTGGGGCTTAGTGGAGAGGGCCGGAGCAGAGAGGTGGGAGGCCGCCTCCCTCCCCTCACCTGACCGGCCGTCAGTGCAGTTCCAGGCTTTACCCGGGCGGCTGGGCTCACCCCACCTCCTGCCAAGGTGAAGAGCAAAGCCAGAGGGATGGAGACAGGGGAGACCTTTCCAGGGCAGGGTCCCCAAACCCCCCAGGCTCACTGGCTCACTAGAAGGACCCGTATGTGTTCTCGTTAATGGCAAAGACTGGTTCTGGGGCAAGGATACGAAGCAAAACGAACACGTGAAAAGGCACACGGGCGAGGGGCTAGAGGAACGGGGTGCACCCAGCAGCAGGGGCACGCGGCAGGGAGAGCCGGCTGTCAGGCAAAGCCGCAGGGGCTGTACTGGGGCCGGGTACACGGGCACCTCGGCCTGGCCTACGCCCAAACTGCCGACTCCCAGAGAGACGGGGGGCGGGAGGGTCCACAGAGAACACACGCTGTGTGGACGCTGCAGGCACGGTGAGCCACCTTCAGCATTTCAGGAAAGTGCCGTATCAGCGAGGGAACGGTTTGCCGGCCAAGCGCTTCTGCAGGGGCCTCTCGAAGGACGGCGTCAGGCCCGCTCCACCGACTTCCTCACCGAGCACGTCATAGAGCTGGAGGCGGCAGCAGCTGGTGAACACAGCTTGGTCGGTAACCAGAGATCGGCGAATTAAAATACACGATACAGGTCTTCACACCGACAGGACGGGCGAGGACAGCTTGGTGCCAGTGGTGAACTTGGCTTGTTCCCACTTGCCCGTCCAGAGGCGCAGACCCTGGCTCTGCTGTCCCGCGATCTCAGGCCTGCGGCTTCTCCTGGGCAGATACGGAAGCTCTGCAGTCCCCCGTGCGGGCTGTGAACACGAGGTGTGAGGTCCACGCCCACTCCTTCCCTTCGCCACTTTGTCTGGCTGATTCCACGCGCTGGTTACTTTGACTAAAACGTCCTGAGGCGTTCACCAGTCTCTTCTTCCGTAGGTATTTGGTAAGGATATCCAGGGCAGGCAAGATTTTGAGGGCCTTTTGCCACGTGATGCCACGGATTCCCAGCGACCTGTCTCCTGTGGGAGACACTGCCTTTTAAGGTCGTCAGATTAGAGCACCGAGTTGGAAACCCCGGACCCCACTCAGAGGACCCCTCCTGAAGGCTGTGCTCTGGAACCACATCTGGCACCAGCGTCTGTAGGAGCTACGGTCGCCCGGAGAAGCAGCACCAGTCGGAGGCATAAACAAGGAACTGGCTCTCGCTCATGTGGCTGGCCAGGTGCACCTGAAGTCCACCGGGTGGCCCATCGGGGGCGGGTCATGGCGGCAGGACACCACAGGCACAGCCCAGAGCTGTCACCGGTGGGTGACTTTCTCCTCAAATTCCGGCTTCTGCCGAGGGAAGTCCATCCCTGAGGACTCGGGCTTGGTGGGCACCCTCATGCCCTCACGGCCCTCCATAGCCTTTTGTGAACTCAAACTCTGACCTCTTCTCCATGGCACCTGGCTTCCCCTCGGCCACCCTTTGGAAATCAATCACTTGATTTTAGCATCTTCCACGGTCCCACCAGACTGAGAAGCCCACCCCCCCCCCCGACCCCGTCACCCAGTCTGGCTTCTCTTTGCTGAAGAGACCTTCGCCCAGCTGACCCTGTCCTCTCCCACTTGACGAGCAGCAGCAGGAGGCCCCGGGATGTGCCCTGAGCACCTGCGTGGGGGCCTCAGGTCTGGGGGCCTGCCTGACCAGCGCAGGACACGGCGCCCCGTTCTCTGCAAGCACCCCGCCTGCCTGCAGGGAGGACGCCCCTCGTGCCCCAGGGCCCTCAGCAGCAGAGCCTCGTTTCCCTCCAAGAAGGAGCTTGTCCGTGCACTAGCAGCACACGAGATGAGCGGTACAGGAGGCGGGACCTCGAGGACAACTGCCCGCATACGGAACACACAGTTCCCTCGTGGGAGTTCTGATGAGGAAACACACGGTCCGGAAAGGTCCACAGAGGAGGACGGACGGAGAGCAGCCAAGGGACCCAGCAGCTCTCTCTGGAAAGTGCCCGAGGCCCTGCCCCCGCGAGACCATCACCTCCCAGAGCGTTTCTGGCAGCAGACAAGCAAAAGGGCGCGAAGCTTCCTACTCTGGAGGCCCTGAAAATGCAGAATCCAGTCACAGCTTTGATCAAAAGGCCTGCTGGGCAGAAATGAGTCAAAGGGACTTTGGAAACTGGATGGCTGACACGAGTCCACGGCAAGTACGACACCAGGGCAGGGTCCGGGTCTGGCTCACACCTCCGTCCACAGGTTTGCACCGCGGAGAAGGACCACCCACAAATGCCGCCTTCGCCAGGGTGGGCCGGGCATCTCCTCTCAACTGAAGTTGGTGCGTTTTTAGGTCTGAATCCCATCCCCGGCCGGCCCAGCAGCACTGTCTCGTGACCTTCAACGTCTTCTACCTGCGGTCCACCAAGGCCGGCCAGGCTTCTCCCCCGGTGCCCCAAACTGCCCTTGATTGCCAAGCTCCTTCCACGTCCGTCCATCCGTCTGTTCCGGCAGCGCCACACGCTCTGCCACCAGGACCTGCGCTCCCTCTATTGTGCCGTCGGAAGGTTTCCCCCAAGCACCACTCTGCAGAAGCTGGGTTGCGGCCGGGCTCTGGGGGCGGGGGCAGACCCACCGGGCAACACCACCCTGTGCCTTGACTCCGACTCCTGCCTCCTGTTTCTGCTCTGAAGGGCTCATGTGATGATGCTGGGCCCACCTGAGTGATTCGAAATACTCTCTTGATTACGGACTGATTGCAAGTTGATTAGTAAATTACATCTTTAGGGGCGCCTGGGTGGCGCAGTCGGTTAAGCGTCCGACTTCAGCCAGGTCACGATCTCGCGGTCCGTGAGTTCGAGCCCCGCGTCAGGCTCTGGGCTGATGGCTCAGAGCCTGGAGCCTGTTTCCGATTCTGTGTCTTCCTCTCTCTCTGCCCCTCCCCCATTCATGCTCTGTCTCTCTCTGTCCCCCCCAAAAAAATAAATAAAAGTTGAAAAAAAAAAAAACTTAAAAAAAAAAATTACATCTTTAAATCCCTTTTGTCACACAATATAAAAAAGCACAGGTATAACAGGGGTGTTTAAGGAACACGGGAGCCAAACCCCGTCTCCCATTTGCTGGCGATCACACGCTCTCTGGGGGCTGGTGGGAAGACACCGCCCCCCTGGCTCATGAATTCCTTGACCGATGACGTCTGGTCTGGAGTCCCCGAGAAGCCAGGCTGGCCACCTTGGTCTTGGCACCCCACAGGCTAAAAGCAGCCGTAGCTGGGAAACAGGTGTTTTCTACAGGGACGGTGGCCAGGGCCAATGCCAGGACAGGCCCCTGGGAGAAGTGGCCGATGAGGGGCCAGAGATGGGGGAGAGCGCCACCAACCCCTCACGAACGGCAGGGGCAGGCAGCCTGGGGCAGGCTCCATTCTTTTGGCCTCAGCTTCCTCATTGTGGGGGGAGGGGGGTGACACCAAGAATAGCCACCCACAAGTGCTGGATGTGTCGGGGGGCTGAGCCACGAATGGCCGGCCCTGCCCGGACCCAGTACGTGACATACAGGCAACCACGGTGGCTGCTTGCTCTGGGGCTCCCGGGCCACAGACAGATCCCAGTGCTCTGACGTCTCAGGGCCGCCACGGGCTCCGTGCTGCAGCCAGCCATCCAGTGAGCCTGGGGACCCGTTCCCAGAAGGACGTTTGCAAAGGCACAAAAGAAACCACGATTCACGGAAGACTACATTACAGCCATGTTTGGCTCCCCTACAGCAGCGTGGCCGGGAGCAGCCCAGGTGACCATCCATTCACACAACAGCACACTATTTGGTCGTAGAAAGGAAGGAAGCAACGGCACATACAAGAACATAGATGAACCCGGAAAACGTGCCGAGTGAGCGCAGCCAGACTCCAGAACAGCCTCCCCGCCCCCTGGGAACAGACACGGGATGGCCAGGGGCCAGGGGTGGGGCTGGGGGGGGGGGGTGACAGTTGTGGTGCTGGTCCCACAACACTGTGGATGTACAAAAAGCCACTGAACTGTACGCTCTGATGGGTGAGTTGTGTGTTGAGTTTTATCACCATGAACCTGTGGAAAAGATTTCCATCCAAGTACAAGCCCCTGAATTCCAAGACCCCAGCTCAGGATTTCTCCACGGCCCCGGGGGCTGGTGTCCTCACAGGCAGGCTCCTGCCACAGCTGAGAGCGGAGCTCCTTCCCGTGTGGTGTTTCCAGGGGCCACAGGACAACGGGGTGGAGGTGGGGGCGAGACCACCGGGGTCTGCCTGGGTCAGGCCCACTCCTGCAGGAGCTGAGAGGGCTCCCGCCGGCAGACCCCAGGTGCCCGGCAGCCACAAACATCGCTGTCCTTGGAGACAGTGTCCCTGACAGGCCAGGGAAGCCCTGCCCTCTGCCCCGGGGCTGGGTCTGTGCAGCAGGGGCACCACAGCAGCTTGAGACACAGCCCCTGCTCCCAGCGGAGAGGGGGAGAGAGGGGCCCCGAGCCCCAGCTGGGTGGGCACGAAGCCCCGCCACGCTCACCTCAGCTGCCCTTCGGTGGTCCTCGTTGGTGCCCAGCACGCGCACGTCCGCGCCCAAGCAGCGGAGGCTCCTTGCCAGCCCCTGCAGCATGTTGTCGCACACCACGCGGAAGGCCCTGACCGGGACCTCTGGAGCGGCGTCCTCGCGCTCGGCCACAGGCACCTGCAACACGGCCCTGCTCAGAGGCCGGCGGCGCCCCTGCCCCGCCCTGGACTCTGTGGGGAGTGAGAGCCCTGCGGGCCGAGTGGCCAGCTCTTTCTCAGCCTTTAGAAAGAGAATCGCGAGCAGTATGGCCTCCACGCAGAACACAGCAGACGGACACATTAACAAAATGATGCGAGATCGCTCGCACCGGGCCCAGGCAGGGCCTCCACACGTTTCCTGGGGTGGGGGCTCTGTGTACGATGCAGCGGGGCTCGGGGCTCGGGAGCCACACGGTTCACGCGAGGCACCGCCCTGGACCTTGGTGGGAGCGCGTCAAGCCCGCTGACAGGAGAGCGATGGGAACCCCCCTCCTCCAGGACGCTGACGGGGCTCTGCTCCCCTCCCAGGCCTCCTTCCCCGTCTGGTCCTCCTCCCTGAGAACTCTTCTGAAGGGGTCCCGGGGGGCTTCACCCACCTGCCAAGGCAGGGCTGAGGCCTCCTGCAGGCGGGGCGGCTCCCGGGCCCCGGGTCTCTCACTGCACCCTGGCTGCAGGCTCCTGGCCAGGTCTTCAGACAGGGAGAAGCTGGCAGGCTCTCTGCTCAGCGCCTGGTGCACCTCCAGCAGGCAGTAGGCGTCAGCAGCTGGGGTTGGCATGGGTCGGCCTCAGCCTCCAGTGTGGGGGGCACAGGGGTGTGGGGTGTGGGGGAAGTAGGGGTGTGCACCTGCGTAAACCAGCTGCCCCTCGCTCAGCGGCCGCCGATCCCAGTTAGAGAGCTGCTGCGTCTTGTCGAGGGGCTTGCCCAGGACCTGCCGCACCAGGAGGCTGAGGCCCCGCAGCCCCCTGGCCTCATACGTGCCTCCAGCTGGCATGTTCACCACCCGCATCTGCCAAGACAGAGCCCCTCAGGGGTGAGCGGCCTGTGCGGGAGGAAGGATGGCCACCACGGTGCCAGGCGGCCCTGCCCTGGGGAAGGCCCTCGCCCTCCAGAGCCGCCAGTGCATGGAAGGGAGGGCGTGGATGGCCAAGGCAGGCTGCGCGGGGGGGGGGGGGGGGGGGCCCCCCCAGGTCATCTCTGGGGATGACATCTTAGCCCCCAAGGGCATGTGCTGAGAACTCAGAGGGGCCCAAAGCAGGGCTGGTTCTGGGGAAAGTGTGGGGACACATGGTGACTCTCCCTCCTCGGCAGGGCCTGGTGACCTGTGGCCAACACAAAGGTGCTCTGAGGTCATGAGCTCATCCTGGCACACAGACACCCGCCAGCCCATGGTGAAGACCCCCAGCTGGCGCAGGGCATGGCTGTGCAGGCGGCTCAGCAGAGAAAGGAGGGCCCCCCTGCCCCCCTCGAGCGGACCTGCCTGTGCACCCGCAGCAGGTCCAGGCCGCCCCACAGCTGCTTCTCCACGTGTGCCAGGGCCGGGCAGGAAGCACCCAGGCTCCGAAGGTCCCCCGCCAGCCCATAACCTGCAAGGAGGGCCGTCAGCATGACAGGCACCCGAGGAAGGGGCCGGGGCCTTGCCCCAGCACCCTCCCCCTCGGCGGGCAGGGGCTTTGCTCACCCAGTTTCGTGATGGAGGGGTCCGAGAGAAGCCGGGACACCAGCCTGGAGAAGGCCTTCGACACCTGCCCTCCCGCTGGCCGCGAGAGCACAGGCAGGTCCAGCAGGAACACGCGGCCCTCCACTGCCAACTGCATGACTGATGCCTGGGGCCGGCCCCCCGTGCCAAACGAGGGTCTCCACTCCACGTCTACCCCGACCACCTGGCCGGGCTGCGGAGAGGGGCTGCTATGAGCAGGTGAGGCCCGCTGGGGCTGCAGGGCTGTGGCTGAGGGCTGGGAGGGTGCAGCTAGCCGGGCCCCCCCTGAGTGTGAGGTCCAGGTAAGGCAGCCTCTGTTGGGAGGGCTGACCAGCCCTGGGAGCTCCCACATGACCGGGGCCGCGCCTGGCCCCTGGCTTGCCCGCCATTCCACACAGAAGGGGTCAAAGGAACCTGGCAACCAGGCCGAGGGCCCGGCCACAGGGTAGGTCTGGAGCTGCTGCAGGTGAGGGGCCAGTGTCTCATGCTTGTGTTTTGGGCCCAGGGTCTTCCAAATGGGCTGGTATGGGTGCCCTGCTCTGCAGGGGTGTCTGGGGCGGGTGGGAAGGACAGCCAAGCCTGGGGGTCCACGGTGTGGACAGAGCCCCAGAGCTGGCCACCCACCTGCAGCAACGCCTCCTCATGCCTGGCCAAGTCCTCCCAAGAGGCCAGGAAGTGGATGTCCTCCCTGGCGATGGGCAGCTGGTAATAATCACCCTTCCTGTCCTCCAAAGGCGCCCTGGCCACCCTAGAAGAAGCGGAGCAGTGGCACCCACCCCCCGCTCTGGGCCCCTGGGGCCGCACCCCACCCCACCCCAGCACCTCCTGGCCTGGCCGGGCCCAGAGTAGACCTCAGACAGGAAGGGGGGCTACGAGGGCCGCTGGCGTCTGGGGGGGTCTTTGCGGTGTGCCCGCCTGTGCCCCTCCTCCCACACAGCTGCTCTCTCTGCCTTGCCCACCTGCCTCTGTCCCCCCGCCCCCCCCCCCCCCCCCCCCCAGCCAACAGACTGCCGCTTCCTCAGGCCCTTGGGGGTGTGGGGCCTGGTTGCGGGCTCCGGCCCCAGGGCCTGAGGCCGGTGCGGAGGGGTGCGGACTCCTGGCTCATCTGCTCTGTGCGTGTCTCGTTCTGGGAACAGGGGCCTGTGCCCCTCCTTGCTTTTCTGGTCTCACTCCCAAAGTGCTGGCATATGTGAGTCATGGGATCACTTCCCAAGGGGTGGGGGCCCCAGGGCATGCTCCGCTCACCAGCCTCCCGAGCCTGGGGGTGCTCACCTCTCCTGGAGTTCGAGCCGGCGGAGCTCGGCAGCCACCGTGGCTGGCAGCTGCTCCTCGGGCACTGAGAGGCCCAGGGCGCACTGCGCGGCCACGGCCTCGTTGCCGGGGGAGGCCAGCAGCCGCACTACCATCTCTTGGGGCCACTCTTCCCGGCCCACCAGGCCCTGGGGACAGATGGGATGGGCCGTGCTGCCCGGCTCTGCCCCCAGGGGGTGCAGACAGTCCCGCACCAGGCCCAGACCTGCCCCCGCAGACCCCAAGGCTCTGTGCCGAGGGAGCTGTCGAGGACCTTCCACACGGTCAGGCTGGAGGGTCACCGTCCTGTGTCCGCAGCCCGGCCTGGCTCCCTGCGTCCGTCTCCCCATCTCCAATGCCCGGTCCCACCCTGCTGCTATCACCAGCACCTCCTCACCGGTCCTGCCCCCCCAACCTGACACCGGTACTGTCTTTCTAGAACATTGTCTCCACCCTTGCCTGGTGGGTTCTGCTCCTGACCCTGCGGCTGTCCAAGTCTGCCCCTCGGGCATCCTTGCCTCCACCCTTGGGCTGGCCAACATGCTCAGGGGAAGGAGGGCCATGGGACACCCCTGAATCCATGGTCCAGACAGTGGACACGGACGGGCGGCCCTCAGAGGGGTAATGATGCTCCGGGGCCTCCCGAGGCGGCCTCTCCCACACCAGTGCCCAGCACAGGAGCACAGGACTCAGGTAGCCCACGGGCAGCCCACCCAAGTCCGCTCAGCCTCGGGGCACCCAGGGCAAGGCCCAGGCACCCCACCCTCCCCAGAGTCTGAGCCTCTCACTCTCTGGATCTCTAGCCCCTGAGGCCTCTGTGCTCCTCAAGGAGCCTCTGCCGGCTGACAGGCAGGGCCCCTCCCAGACAGCTCTGTCCCCCCAGCAGCCTCAGGCCATCCGCTTCCCGCAGGCCGCGGGTTCCCACGTGGACGACAATATGTGGAAACCCCTCCACATTCTTCAGGATGTCCGCTGCCCTTCCGGCTGCCTCGGCCTTGGCACCCAGGGGGGACCAGCCTTCCGGGCCTTCCCGGGGGTCCACGTTCCTCTCTGGTGACTCACCGCCCACCCCACACACCCATCACTGCAGGGGTGGCTCAGCGCTGCCCCCCACTGGATGCCACTCAGAACACCAGATGCTAGACCATTCATCAAGGAAGGAAGGCCCCCCCCCCACCCCACTAACTGGTGCGTTGCTCCTGTGCTGCATCTGGGACCCCACACCCCCTACCTTCTTCCAAGGCTGCTTCGCCCAGGGCTGGGGACAGCGCTGTGCCCATGATGACCCACACTTCCAGCTCGGGCCTGAAGGACCCAGGCCGCTACATGGTCCTGTCTAGGCTGCTGTCCTGGTGGGCTCTGTAGCCCCCTGGGCCAGGAGTGGCCCTTGTATCACCCCATTGGGCAGTTGGGGGCTCATTCCTCACAAGGCCTCAGGGGGCACAGAGCTGTGTGCAAGCACAGCACTCAAGGATGGTCTGGAATATTCTCTCGGTGCACAAGTGGAATCTCCAGCAAACCTGACCTCCTCCATTGCCTGGCAGCTCCATGCTCCACCAGCTAAAAGGGGCTCCAGGACCCCCAGCCGCTCTGGCCCTGCCTCACCTGGCGGGGTCCCCCTCAGCAGCTGCCTCTGGCACCCCAGCTTCTGACAGGGGTGGGCAGGCGTGAGTCCCTGTGTCTGGTTTCTCATCAAGGTGTGGGGTCTGTGCCGGGCGGGGAGAAGCCCCGTCCCTGCACCATCTGCTTCCGGCCCTGCCTGGACATCGGAAGAGCTGACCCGGTGTGTGGGCCTACACACCACATGCCTAGTCCATACGTGTGCACATAGCCTCTCAGGGTCACGTGCCCCTCTAGTCCTTGCCCAGGTCTCCAGTGAATGCCCACCCTGCACAGGGCTTCCAGAGCCTTCCAGACCCTTCCAGAGGCTTCCAGGGCCCCTGGACTCACCTGCACGTGGTCCACCCAGTTCTCCTGAGACATACTTCTCTGTAAAAGTAAGCATCAAGATAACCTTTTCTAGTTGCAGCTCTAGAAGCTGGGGCGGGAGAGCTCCCCCCACCCCCTGGCTCAGGGCGGTAACCAGGGCACACGCACCTCCACAAACCGCTTGTAGCACAGGTAGCGCAGGGCGGCCAGGCGCTGCTGAGTGGCAGCGTTGGGACACAGAGCTGTTGAAAAAGCACAGAGCTCAGGGCAGGGCAGGGGCCGGGGGCCAGTGTGTAGGGGGCTTCTGCCCGCTCCCCTCCACCCTTCACTGTCCCCACAGGTGCCCTCCCAGCCTTGAGCCTCGTTTGGGGTCTCCCAGACCCTCTGCATCAGGGGCTCTGAGGGACAGGAGCCCCATCTCTCCAGGCTTCTTTTCCTTCGTGTCCTTCTCCCACCAGAATGTGAGGAAGGGGCCATCTTGCTCACCTGTTTACAAACTGATGCTTACTTGTTGGCCTTACTTCCACATTTTGTTCAGAGCCCGCAGGGGCCCAGGAAGGGCCCCCTCCCACCCACCCATCCACCCGCCCCGCCTTCTGATGCTGGTTCTCCCTCTTGGGGCCAGCTGTCCTCGAAGCCTGGCAGTGCGCAGGGGATGCTGCCCACAGAACCCTGCCCCTCCCAGTGGCGGCCTGGCCTTCTCAGGGCCCTGCACCCTCCGGAAGTGTGGTTGCGCCCGCAGCACCCCACTCCCAGCACTGGGGAGCGCCCTGTTACAGGGTCGCTGTCCAACCACAGCGGAGGTCAGTGCTGCCCAGAGGTTGGGGCCTGCAAGGGAGGGCCAGCGACTCCTCAGACAGGTGACGGGGCACCACCTCCTCCTTCCTGCCCAGGCTGTGAGGGTTCCAGACCCCAGGAGGCTGCTAAGGAACCTGGGACAACCCTTCCGAGTGAGGTGGACAAGGCCTGAGGAAGGGGGGGTGGGGGACGAATGAGTGAGCTACTCAAGGAAAGAAGCAAAGAAGTGAATTTCTGCAGGCTCTGTCAGGACACAAAGTAACCATGTGTCCTTGCAGAGGCATCTGCAGACAGAGACTGGCTTTTCCGACATTTACACAATTTGAAGCATCATTTTGCCGGTGGGAAACTTTGTCCAAAAGCCTTGTGGATACGGTATCGGGTATCGTGTCCACAGATAGATTCTGGTGCAGCCTGGGCTGACTGGCTGGTCCAGACGCAGCACAAACCCTTAAAGGGGCGGGCACAGCTGAGCCAGGCCCAACCGCCTGCCACACCCCTGAGCACCTGCAGATACCACAAAACCCAAATACGACGCACACTGCAGCCTGCCGGTTCATCCGCGCAAGGACACCTTGGGGGGCTCCACCCGGGACCCAGGCCTGGGGAGGGGTGGGCTAGTGGGGAGCTCAGGCTGGAGAGGCAAACAGAAGTCCCCGACCCTCCTTCTGCGTCTAACGTCAGCCCACGGAGGACATGGGGTCGGTCCTGTGGAGGCCACAGCTGTGACGGTGGACACGCGGATGGACTGCAGAGGGGCAAAGGGACCGTGACCGCAGCTGTGACCCTGAGGCCTCCTGGCTAAGACAGACCCCGCTGGGGAAGCAGCAGATGGGGCCTGGCAGCGGGCAGTCATGCGGAACAGGAGACCCGGAGGGGGTCTGTCCTCCCTGCCCCCAGCAGGCCAACGAGCGAGGCGCCCACGGAAAGCACTGGCTTGTCTACCCCGCCCTCTTGTCCAGCGGCCCCCCACTGTGTGTGACTATGTGACTCGGCACATAGTCGGGGGGAGTCCCCACTATGTAGGGGTGCCTAGGCACCTAACCTGTTCCAGTGCCAGATTCAGCTGAGACCTGTGGGGAGGGGACAGACCTCCAAGGGGGGCACATCCTGAACTGCGGGGGGCGCCAGGCTAAGGCTGGTCCAAGACCCCAAAGACCCCTCTGGCCCCAAGCCCTGGGCCCACTGTGGCCACGACCCGACCCAGAAGTGTGGGCCCTGTGGGCCAGTGAATGTCATGGCAGGGCTGCTGGGGGGGGGGCGGGGGGGAAGTCCTGCACCTCAGACCCAGCTGTGGTCTCCCACACAGCCTGCCCGCCACCCCGGCCCTGTGGGCCTCACGCCCCACCCCCGCCCTGCCCCACACGGGCCTGAGTCCCGGGTGGGGAGAGCCTCTGCCGAGGCGGCAGGCGCGGCCCCCCACAGCAGCCAGCATCGACCCTGTGAGTGATTCCGTGCTGAGAGCCTCTCGGGCCCATGTCCCTCACCCCGTGTGCACCCTGAGGGATGCCAGCAGGGCTCCCCGACACAGCGCCCAGGACAGGCATGCAGGTGACCTCAGAGGCCCCCCTGCCAGGGACGGGGATCCCCATGGGGGGTCCACTCCTTAGCGCTCCAGTCCTGCAACTGCACCCCAGACCTCCCGGTCCCTCAGACCCCAGCACCCCCAGGGGTCTGTGCTGCCGGGACCCTCCTTGGGGCTTCGGCACCTACAGCCCTTCTTTTGGTCTTCTTCTGCAGCCTGAGGGTGGCTCCTTCCTAGGGCTGTGTCCCCTGGCGCCCCAGGGGTCCCAGCAGCCGGCCGGTCCTCCTAGACCTGCCTCGGCTGCTTCGGGCAGAGGCCCCCCAGCTACCGTCAGCACAGCCAGCAGCTCTTTGTCCCTAACTGACCCAGACTGACCGCACCACCAGCCTCCAGGCGACCACTTCTTGGTCCTCCCATCTCTTCACCTAGTGTCACCTGGGGGGCCGTGGACAATCACACATCAAAACCGCTTGGTGATGTGCTTCCGTCTGCAAAAGCCCCTAGTATCGCCCTCCTTTCTGGAGGCAACACTGCCTTCCGGAGGCACCTTTGTCCAGGGCCAGGAGATCTGCATACTTTCTCAAGGGTGTGAGGACAGAGAAGCCTGCAGGTGACTGAGACAGAAACCAGATGCTGACCAGAGATGGGGCTGAAACTTGGACACAGACCATAAGACACCTGTGAGCAAGACATTCGAAGGGAAAAAAGACAAAACTGGAAATATGTTCCAGTACCAAGAAACCACACAAAGCGGAAGAGCAGATCTGGAAAAGAACCAAAGTATGACTTCTGGAGCCACAGGTACAACGATCAAAATGCAGTGTTTTGTAGTTTTTTGGACACAGAGGAGAAAATTAGTGATGCGGAAAAGAGCAAGAGTTGCCCGAGCTCATCATGAGCGAGACACAGGACAGTAACACCGCAGGGAAGGCAGGGTGACAAGATCACACACGGGGCCGGAGAACCAACAGCAACATCTGAGGACATGGTGACTTACAATTTTCCAGAACCAAGTGAAGACAGCAATCCACAGATTTAAAAAGCCCAACAAAAACCAAGCCAGATAAATACAAAGAGATCTATAACCACTCTCCTCACAGTGAGACTGCAGAACATCAAAGACAGAGGAGACACAGAGAGAGAGAGAGAGAGAGAGATTCCTTTCAGAGAAAAGAAATTAGATTTCTTCATAACAACACATTTCAACCCAAAGGACTGACATCATACCAAGCATGATCTTTGATCATGATGAGATTAAGAGCCCACACTAGAAAGGTAACTAAAAGTGCCACATAGCTTTGAAATTAAGAAGTACAATTCTAGGGGCGCCCGGGTGGCTCAGTCAGTTATGTGTCTGACTTCGGCTCAGGTCACGATCTCACCATGAGTGAATTCGAGCCTTGCATCCTGCTCTCTGCTGTCAGGACACATCCTCTGTCTCCTTCTCTCTCTGTCCCTCCCTTACTAGCTCTCTCTCTCTCTCTCAAAAATAAACAAACACTAGGGGCGCCTGGGTGGCTTGGTCGGTTAAGCGTCTGACTTCGGCTCAGGTCACGATCTCGCAGTCCATGAGTTCGAGCCCTGCGTCGGGCTCTGTGCTGGCAGCTCAGAGCCTGGAGCCTGTTTCAGATTCCGTGTCTCCCTCTCTCTCTGCCCCTCCCCTGTTCATGCTCTGTCTCTCTCTGTCTCAAAAATAAATAAACATTAAAAAAAATTAAAAATAAATAAATAAACATTAAAAACAGAAGAAGAAATACATTTCTTCTTTTTTTTTTTTTAATTTTTTTTCAATGTTTATTTATTTTTGGGACAGAGAGAGACAGAGCATGAACGGGGGAGGGGCAGAGAGAGAGGGAGACACAGAATCGGAAACAGGCTCCAGGCTCTGAGCCATCAACCCAGAGCCCGACGCGGGGCTCGAACTCACGGACCGCGAGATCGTGACCTGGCTGAAGTCGGACGCTTAACCGACTGCACCACCCAGGCGCCCCATATTTCTAATTAGCCCATGGGTAAAGAAAAAATTATAATAAAAATTAGAAAATATCTTAAGCTGGACAATAATAGAACTAATATATGTTGAAACTTGAGGAATATTTTAAGAAGCAAGAAGGTTTAAAATCTAGTTTGGTGGGCTGGGGAGGGCAACGAACAAAGAGGGCCAAAAAGCCAAAAGCCACCAACAAGTGGCCTTACATCAAACTAAAAATTAGCTTCTGTACAGCAAAGAAACAGTCGACAGAATGAAGAGGCAACCTACAGAGTGGAAGGAGATATTTGCAAACCACGCATCTGACAAGAGGCTAACGTTCAAAATATAGAAGGAACCCATGCAATTCAATAGCCAAAAATCCCAAATAACCATATTTAAAAACGAGCAGAGGAACCCAATGGATGTTTTCCAAAGAAGACATCCAAACAGGTGTTGAATGAATGAAATGGTCCAAGGTACCACTAATCATCAGGGAAATGAAACTCCAAATTATGATGAGATACCACCTCACGTGTGCTAGAACGGCCACCAGCCATCATTGGACGAAAAGACAAGAACGGACAAGAAGGGGCGGGGGCGGGGGGGGCGGGGTGCAGCAAGGCCCCGCCTCCCAGGAGTCTAGGCAGGTGGGCAAAGGGGCTTGCGGGTCTGAGGCTGCTGCTCTGTCCGGGGCCTGCGATGGGCAGGCGGCAGGAAGGCGGAGGGAGGTCGGTGGACCCTGGTCAGCCTGAACCCCGCATCCGCCGGGCGCGCACAGGTTGTGGGGGCGGCACTCACCCGGGTCCAGGCCCAGCCGCTCCAGCTGGCTCAGGACCCGCCGACTTAGCACTCTGGGACTCAGCCTCTCCAGCCTCGAGGTCACCTGTGGGTGCTGCCTGCAGGGAGAGAAACACAGCTCCTGTCTGGCACTGCTTTAAGACTTTTGTTTTCATCTAAGTCACACACGCACAGTTTAAAACTCAGGTAGTTCTACAAGGTTTATGGAGAGAGCAGTCACCCTGTCACCCTGCCCCACTGCACACCAGACACACACATCACTTTTGTCGTGTTTCGTATTTGTCTCTGTGCTTACAAGCGACATACTTGTACGGGATCTCTTGGTTATTCAGTTTTAGGAGTTTGGTCTGGACATCTCACCACGGAAGGCTCTCCAGCCTCCCTCCCCACACGGTATCCAAGCCCTTACGTAGGGTCAGGACACCGTGTCTGCCATATCATGACCAGATGACCAGGCGGAACACTGTCAGTGGCCAGGCCACACCCTCCTGTTCTCTTCAGGGTTAATACCTGTCTGCTGAGGTTGCTGACCCAGGCCCCCCGCCTGCCTCGCCCTGTGCCCACAACTCGGTGGACACACCTCCTCACTCCCCCAGCTGACAGCTCAGCACACACCCGCAGAAGTTGCTAGAGCTGGTGTGCGCTTGAGCTCTGCCCCGCGCCGGCTTGAGGGTTCGGCTGAGCCGAGACCTTGGGGTCCGGGCAGGCGATGCTCCTGGAATCCCGCCTGATCCCTGCTCTTCCTGGGGTCTGCAGTGTGCGTCTCACCCATGCAGGCCGCCCCGCAGACCCGCTAAGCCGGGTGCCTCGGGACCGGGGTTCCCGTTACTTGGATGTCGGGCCTTCTTGACAAGATCTCTACTTTTTCTTTTAACCTCTTCTCTCTGATTTTCATACTGTTTATCTGTTTTGTACTTTTTCGAAGACATCTTCAAATTTATCTTCCAAACTTCTATTGTGCTTTTCACTTTGCTGTTAAATTTTTGATTGCAAAGAGTTCTGTTCTGTGTTCTGCAGACACCTCGGCCCAGGGTCCCCAAGGACCGGCTGACCGCTGAGGGCCCTCCTCGGGCTCTGCGTTGGACCCCACATGCTCCTGGCGGCCACAGGTCAGCTTCCCAGCCTAAGTGCTCTACCTGACCACCTGCCACCAGCTCTTGGACCCCCTGCTGTTGCTGCCTCTCCTGCTCTTAAAATGTCTTCATTTTGGGGCAGAGACACAATAATAAATGCTTGTGTTTATCAGCCAGAGCACTTTTTAAAACCTAGCGTTTATAGGGGCGCCTGGGGGCTCAGTCGGTTAAGCATCTGACTCTGGATCTCAGCTCGTCATGATCACGGTTCGTGAGCTAAAGCCCCACATCGGACTCTGTGCTGATGGTGCCAAACCTGCTTGTTATTCTGTCTCTCTCTCCCTCTCCCTCTCGGGAGGGAGGGAGGGAGGGAATCCCAAGCAGGCTCCAAGCTGTCAGCACAGAGCCCAATGTGGGGCTCAAAGTCATGAACTGTGAGATCACGACCTGAGCCGAGATCTAGAGTTGGACTGAGCCACCCAGGTGTCTTAAGACCCAGGAAATTTTTAAAAAATCATTGATTTAAACCAATATCCTCAGCTAAATCCAGCCACACAGGGCCTTCCTCACCGTCCCACTGTCCATCCACGTATGTCCCTTCTCCACATGGGACTCTGGCCCCTGGCCCCACAGTATGTTCACTCATTTGCTCTGTGTCCCCCCACCCTTTTTTTAAAGTCGTTGTTTATTGTTCAAGCCACTTTTTTTTTTAGTAATCTCCACGCCGAACGTGGGGCTCAAACTCATGGCCCCGGGATCAAGAGTCACATGCTTCACTGACTGGGCCAGCTGGGCGCCACTCTGTCACTTTTCAAATCTGTAATGACAGGGAGGAGAGCCAGCGCTGGACGAGCCCGGCCCGGGGCTGTGTGGGTTTGCCTGCTTCCCAGCATTTAAGTCACAGAACCCTTGAGACAGGCAAAATCAGTCCAGTTTTAGGGACAAGGAAAGAAACCCAGAGAGTGAAGTGACTTGCTCATAGGTCCAGGGAGGTCTGCCCCAGAGCCCAAGGTCTGGATCTCCAGCCGGGGGGTCCCAGGGCTGGGTAGTTCGTGGAGCCAGGATCAAGCCACTCCTACCTGCGGATGGGCGGGTGGCTCAAGGAGCCTTCACAGACCTCCAGGAGCTGCTGCCCCCTGTGCCCCCCTCAACACGTGTGGCAAGAAGATGTTCTCCCGCCAGATGCCACCCCCGTGCCCCACACCCAGGCGACACCCTCACGTCACATACACAGGCACGTGGGCTATCCACATGGGCTCCACACCCGTCCCTGGAGATTTATCCCTCGAAGGGATGAAGGAATGAGTGAATGGATAAGCAGCATGACTTCCGGAACCAGGTAAGAAGTCATCCACCTGATGTGGAGGATTGTTTTTGTTCGCTCGAGGGTGGTAACCGTCTCTCATCTGGTCCCTGGCAGGCATGGCCCCTCGCTGGCCGACCCGGATGCGACTTGTGGGGGCCATGCGTGTGGCCTTCCCCTGTGCTTGCCCCCCTCACCCCACCCTGGGCCCCCGTAGGGCTCACCTGGCAACAACTCCGATGTCAAAGCCGGGCTGGCACCAGGAGTCCAGGAGGCCCAGCAGCCTCCTCTGGAGGTCCGGGAAGCCGGCCACATAACGCTCCACGAGGCTCACTCTGTCCTGGAGGAGCAGTGGGGTGCACATCTGCGGGGAAGCACGTCCTCAGGCCACAGCCCTGTGGGCACCTGGCACCTCCACCCCCAGCTGAGACCCCAGACTCACCTCCAACCCATCCAAGAGTGTGAGTGCCCCATAGTGGCTCCTGGGGCACGATGCAGGCAGCCCAGCCCATGCCCTGCGCTTGAGCATCTCGCCCCCACACATGCAGGCCCCACAGCTCCCTGGGGCTCGGCCTGGGCTCTGTGGTCATTTTCATCTCCATTACAAAGGCCTGGAGGCCCCAAGAGGCAAGGGGAACCAGGGGAAGCTGTTTCTCCTGTCTTCACTGAACTGGGGGCGGGGGGCAGGAGGGAGGCCAACGTGGGCAGTAGCCCGATGGCCCAGAAATGCCTCCTTGTTGGCACAGATGGCATGCCTACTCCTAGTGCCCGTGAGGGCATGAGCCCATGAGAGCCCCAAGCTGAGCCCTCAGGGAACCTTGGAGGCAGCCCCTGACGGTGGCACTGGCTCTTTGGACACTCGGGCCGTTTCCACCGCAAAAGTCAGGCCTCAACAAAGCCCCCTTCTAGTGGTCCCTACACTAGACCCCACCTCACCTCCTTTCCTCTCCATGTGACCACATAGGTCAGGCTGCCTGGAGCCCAGACTGGATGGGGTCCCATCAGCCAGGCTGGAACCATGGGGGTGGTCCTCACGGAGAGCTCCATTCCCGAGAGCCCCTCTGGCCACCACTTTCGGAGCATACCACACCTGAGCCCAATGACTGCCCTCCTGGGCACGCCCCTTGGGCCCTCCGAGTAGGGTCAGGTGGTCACATGCGACCCTTGCCCTCTAGCACCCCAGCCCCACCCTGTGAACAGCAGAGGCCAGGGCTCAGTGGTGCAAGACCCTCCACCTCCAGACCATGTTTCTGGAGACCTGGGCTTCATCCACGTTGGGACCTGCGAAACTCACATGAGAAAGACACTTACCTTTTCAACATCAAGTGCTGGCTGCAACTTCAGCCTGGAGCCCAGCACGACAGCCTGGCAATCAGAAATGGAGCAGGTTCCACAAAGTACACGGGCCCTGGTGGGGCACGGGCAGCGCCACGGTGGGGGGGGCTCCCACCCTCTACACCTCTGTCACTGGGGCACAGGACAGGCCTGTTCAGGTCCAAGGGGCCTGGAACCCTGAAGCCTCCTGGCAGACAAGCACCCCTGCCCCCCCCCCAACCCCCCCCCGGCTGAGTCAGGTTCCACAAGAGGTGAGGCAGGTGGTAATGACCCATGGGCCCTACCAGGCTGGGGTGTGGCCTGCTGGATAGGGCATCAGGGTGGGTGCTGGGCCCAAGTGGCTCTGGCCAGGGGGTGCTGATGAGTGGATAGAGAACGAGGGGGGAGCAGACAAGAAGTAGAAGTTTTGTCACCTACCCCCAGGCTCTGCTTCCACATACCCGCTGTCACATGCCCCGTACCTCCCACCAGTTGCCATCCACCTGCAAGAGCCTGGCAGGCCAGTCACGGTGCTCACAGCCAGGGGCCAGGGTTGGTGACCCCTGCCTCTGTGCACCCTGAGGCCTGGGGGCCTGTGGCCCTGAAGTGCAGGGGCCTCTGAGCGCTTTCCACAAGTCATACTGTGTGTGCAATCCAAAACGACTAATGAGCGCAGGACTCTCTGTCCAAAAGGGCGGATTGGCCCCAGGACGAGAGGCCGGAGTAGGCCGTGGTGTGGCCTGAGTGTGTTGGGGGAAGCACAGAGCTGCCCCCTTGGGTCCACAGAAGAGAGGCTCTGAACCCACCGCTTCCTGGTGAGGACGGGAGGGTAGTGGGCGCAGCTGAGAACCCTGCCCGCGGGCGGCCGACCGGCCGCAGGGACCCTCCTCCGACTCAGCATAGAGAACGCCCGGGGCCCTGAGCGCCCGCACGTAGCGCTGACCGGGCTGCTATTAATAATTTCCATACATCGCGCTCCCATTATGAGCAAAAATAACCGGCAGAGCAGCCGGGCGCCCCGCCCCACGCGGCTCACACAAAGGACCAAAATAGCGGCCTGGGAAAGGCTCGCTCCGGCCTCCGGCCGCGGACCGCGCGGGGCGGGGGGCTCAGGGCCAGGGGCCTTTCCCTGCGCAGCGCTGACCCGGCGCCTCCACAGCCTGGCTGCTGTCCAGGAGCTCGGCCGCCAGGGCCCCGAGGGGCCCCGAGCGGGGGCAGGGGCGCAGGGGGCGCAGAGGGCGCAGGGGGAGGGGCCAGAGCTGGAGGAGGGACTCGAGGGGGGGCAGGGCCTGGGGAGGGGCTCAGGGCGGTGGGAGGGGTGCAGGTGCCTCCCGCCCACGGGGACCTTGTCTTTTCTGGATGGGAGGCCCCCTGAGAACTGAGGGAGCGCCAGACCCCCACCCGGGAAGGCTGGCGTGCATACCCCGGTGGCCCCGCGCACCGAGCTCACAAACTGGGGTGGTCGGAACACTGCCACCTGCGGTGTTTCTTCCGCTGTCGACACCTGGACCTGCGCTTGGTCGGGCCACGCCACGGCCGAGAAGGGGCTGTGGGGAGGGATACCTGGGGGTCTGAGACCCTCCCATCCTCCAGACCGGGCCATGAGCCAGTGACCCTGGGAGAGGTGGGGGGGGGGGGCACGAGGCGAGGGGCAGGGGGCGGCAGAGATGCCCTCTTTCTCCCCTCACTACCTCTGCTGGGGTATCGGCCCCCATCATCTGTGGCTCCTGCTCCTCTAGGGACAAGACTTCGTCTGTCTCTAGGCTCCAGCCCTCATTGGGGTCTGGGGGGGATCCTGAGCCCCCCACTCTCCAACAACCCCTCTGACTCCTGGGGTGAGGCCTCAGGCTTGGGAAGGGGGTAGCCTGGAACGGTGGTCTGGGTGTCAGGTCAGGCTGCCACGGGAGGCTGGGCGCTGCCCTTCACAGAAGCAGGAGCTTCGCCTTACAGGGCAGCCTAGAGCCCTGAGGGTGCCCCCGCTCTGCCGGCAGGGCCTCCCTCCCCCCGAGGAGCCTGCGGCGCCAACCCCAACCCTCTCACCTGCCGCCTTGCCACCAGGGTCCTGGTCAGTGATGCCCACCGGCTGAGGTAGGTGGGGGGGGGGGTGGTGGTGCTCAGAGCCCAGCCCACCCATCCTAGGCAGGCAGCTCAGGCCTAACGTGTGGCCGGGTGCACAGCCCACCTGGCCGCACAATGACACTGCCACACAGGGCTCAGAGTGCTCAGCATGGCCCCTCTCTGCTCCCTGGTTCCTCCCAAGCTCTCCTAGCACCCAGGGTGCCCTCTCTCAGCCACGTGGCCTCTGTGGAAGCTGCAGGGTATGGCCAGCGTGCCAGGGCTGGATGGCCGCAGACACCCCCCAGGGACAGTTTGGGAGGTACCCTCATTCTGCACCTGCACCTCTGTACCTGGAGGCTGGGTGGGGTGGCACAGGACAAGGAAAGGGGCAGCCAGGGGGTGTGGTCTCGGTGACCTGGCGGGGATGATGGACAGCAGGAAGCCCCCCGGGGCCTGGCTTCTGTCTTGGGGCTTGGTCGGGGCGGGTGCTGTATGTAGTTGTTTCATTGCCATGAGGTGGGCTTAGCATCTGTCTCTGGTCATTTTTCTGTCTGAGCTTCTGCTGAGAGGACAGCACACCAAGCCGCCCATGGCCTGCTCACATGAGAGAGTGCAGGCACATCACCTGCTGACACAGGCACCTGTGACAAGGAAGGTGGGAGGGGCTGAGACCCCACGGAAGGAAACTGCGGAGGACCGGGCCCCTGGCGCCTCCCAGGCCTTCCTGGCCTTTGCATGGAGGCCTCTAAGAAGAGAGATGCCAGCTGAGTCAGGGGGAGGCTGTGGAAACCTCTGGCCAGACAGACTCCGGGACTGCTGCCTTTGGGGAAAACAACTCAGAAAACCCAGAGGGGCCGGGGTGGCCGCCGTGGGAGGAGCGTTCATGGGCCACCCCCCACCTCCTCCCGGCTGTCCACTCCATGGGGCTGGAGGCCGGGCAGGTGCCCAGGCAGCCAAGCCCAGACTCGGCAGCCTCAGACCCAGGACGGGCCTGCCTCCCACCTCCACAGCTCAGCTCGGGCCTGGAGCCAAGGGGCTTTTTTTTCTTCCCCCTGAAGCAAAGCTATCTTTTTACCTTGATAAGCTGTTTAAAAAATGTAAATAAAATAACTCAGTAGACAAAAGCGGGCATTCATCCCGCCTGGAGCCAGCCGCCGCCCTCGACATGAAATATCGGTGCACATTAAGTCGTGAGTCCCTGCTAATCCGAGCGGACAGGCCTGAATGCGGCCCCTTTCGCCGGGCGCGGCGGTGGGCACTGGAGCATGCACCGCCTGCCGGGCGGCCCCGCTTGGGGACAATGGCTTTTCTTCGCAGAAGGGGCCTGTGCGGGACAAGAGCCCCCTTTGTGTTGGGATTCCTGCCTTGGAGCGCGAGGGAGGCGCATTCAGCCGGCCCTAGACACTCTTTGAAAGGCTCGGGTGTAACAGAAGACACCGAAACACTAGCCTGCCTTCTGCCTCCCGCATTCTTGCAAGCCCAGCCGCCCATTCAGACTGCGGAGAATGGCCCTGCGCCACAGGAGCGGAGCCCCAGCCACATTGTCCCTGGCGTGGCCATCTTGGTTTCTCAGCGCCCTTCACCAGCCTCGAGACAAGAGCCCAGGGCCGGGCATGACAGTCGCCAACACATGGCCCACACCTCTGAGGGCGCAGGACTGGCGGTCCAGGTGAGGCCCAAATGGCAATGAGCCTCCTCACTGGGACTGGCCCCTCGGGGAGGAAGGCCCCCCGTGGGGCAGGTCTGGGGTCCTGCCTCGGTGCCCACCGAGGCATGGGGAGCAGCGCCCCTGGGCAGTGGGAGGGGTGAGCCAGGAGTGAGCCCCTGGACACCCCCGGGACTGGACCTGGGACATAGCAAGAGTGCCCCGCTGAGCTGCGCAGCCTAGGACTTCTCCCTGTGTTGCGACCTTCACATCTCAGGGCACAGAGATGTCATGGGGGCCCCTGTGCCTGCAGCAACAGCTCAGAGCTGCGCCCCACCCCCACCATAGAGCCGCCCCTCCCTGCTCACCACAGACCCCCCCACTCCTTACTACCTCATGCAGACCCAAGTCACTCCCAGTGCTCGTGGACAGCCTCCACCTCCTCTCGGAAACTTCTGGACTTAAATGAGAGCTGGTAGGGCTCATAAAGGAGACCCAACGAACCCACCAAGACCTCCAGAGCCCCACAAGCTCTTACCCAGAGACCTGCAGCTACTAAGCCCACGTTTCCACATTTGCTCTTCCTGACCCAGGCTTTCCCAGGACAAGGGAGCCATGACCCGTCCCAGGCATGGCCCCACATCCCAAAGCATCACGTGCGCTAGAGGGCTCTCTGCTGTCATAACTGGTCACCTGTGCCCCAAAGTGCCAGTGCTGTGCCCTACGCGGAACTTCTGCAAAAAAAACCCAAAACCATGAGCATCATGCTGAGGGGCTGGTCCTGGGAAACACTGAAACAGGTAGGTTGGGGTCCTGCCCAGCCTAGTACCTGCAAGGAGCCAAAAGGACCCTCGGGGTGTCTGACCCTCACAGGGGCACCACCGCTGTGGGGACCTGGTCCAACAGAACGACAAATAGCAGGAGTTGTGCCACCCAGAGCGAGGCCCCTTCACTCCAGGGCAGGCCCCTTGACAGGTGCAAGGAGGTGGCAGACACAGCATGAGGGCTCTCAGGGGGGCTCTTCCAGACCCCGCTGTTAGAATAGGAGCAAATCGGCCAGTCCCCAGGCCTGGTGTGGGTGTGGCTGCAGGACCCCCAACAAGGATACAAAGCCAACAGCTGGAAGCGGCTGGGCCCAGAGGGAACCGGGCTGTTGGTCCCCAGGCCACATCACACTGAGGCCAAGGGACCTTGCGAGCGGGCCTGGGCAGAGGCAGGAAGGAGAAGGGGGAGCCCTGTGGGGTCATGTGGGTGCTCCCTGGCAAAGCTCCCCACTTGGGAGGCTCTGGGCTGCGAGGGTGTGGGAGGTCCAGCTGTCTGATCGAGGCTCGAGGGGTGGCAAGTGTGGGCAGAGGGACGCCCGCACCCCTGATCTTCTTAGCCCCCCCGAGTGTTTCTGGGGATTGACGTGTGAGACTGGACGGCAGCGGCTCAGGTAAGCGGTTCTGCCACAGGGCTTCCAGGCCAAAGCCAGGGTGTCCTTGGGCTGCTGACCACATTTGAGGACCCAGTGAACACCCAGGAGGAAGGACCCCAGGTGCTGCACCAGAGAGCCAGGCGTGGGGCGGGGGGGGGGGGTGCTGCTCCCAGACTCTTTTCCAGTTTGGTGAGCGTGAGGGGCTCCTAGGACCCCAGTGCATGGCACAGCCCCGAGCTGGGCTCCTGGGGTGGCTGATCCCTGAGACCCTCTGCTCCAGACCCAGAGTCCCCGTTGCAGCACTCCCATAGTGGAGGGGTGGAGAGGACACTCCCAGGGTGGACCCTGTGAGCCCCCTCAGCCCAGCTCTTGCCTGCTCCACTGACCCCACGTGCAGACCTGGCCCCTGAGCCCCTCCCTGCCAGCCCCGGTGTACATGGGGGTCACACTCACTTCTTTGAACTTGCCCTCCTGGTGGAGCTGGTGGATGTGAGTCAGCAGGGGCCTCCGGTCTGCGTCCTGCAGCTGGAAGATGCTGACCAGTGGCTCCACGAGACTAGGGGGGCTCCTGGCGAGGACCCTGACTGCACGGGCCCGTAGCTGTTGCAGCCTTGAGCCGTGCTGGGAGACCAGAGAGCCAGCCTCAGCCGGGGAGTGGGGGGGCTGCAGCTGGAGCATGGTGCCGGGGTAGAAGTCCAGCACCTCAACCCTGTGCCTACGGTGGACAGTCCAGGCAGGCAAGGCCTGGGGGACAGGAGCACAGACGAGGGAGATGTATGACTGTGGGGAAGCTGAGAGTCAAGCCCACAGACCCGGGAGCACAGTCAGTCCGAAGGCAGCGGCCCCTGCCCACCAGGGGTGAACGAGCTCAGCGGGCCAGGTCAGGCAGGCGTGGAGCCCACCAGGCCGAGAGCTATGAAGGGGGTGGAAGGGGCGAGGCTGGTGGGGCCGTGGGTAGGGCTCACCTGGGCCGACGCAGGGAGTGGCCGTGCCTGCAGCCAGCGGTGCAGCTCACAGACTACCCAGGCCTCCAGGGAGGGGCCCTTCCGCTGCCAGGCCTGGCTGCCTTCCAGCATGTCCAGGAGTCCGGTCAGTGGGTCATCCAGGGCAGCAAACCCCCGCCAGGCCTCTTCCCGGAGCTGCGGAGACACAGCACCTCACTGTCTCTTTGTTGAGCTCAAATCCGCCTGGTAAACCCTGCCCCGACCTGCGCGGCCCAGCATGTGGTCTGCTCAGAGTGGGGGACTGGGGCTGGTCAGCACTGTCCTCCCATCCTCGGGGTCCTGGTCTGACCCGCCATGCCCCTGGCCCTGGGTGGCAGCCACTGTCCACACCGACGGTCCCGTAAAGACAGAGGGCATGTTCCCCGAGTCAGGCCAAGGGTGGCGGGACCCATCTGAGAGGATCCGTTCACTCGGCTTCGCCCCAACTACTCGTGCGGCACGCCGAGGACCTGGCACTGGTCCTTCAGACACAGTGACTCCTTGGCGGGGCCAGCAAGCAACAGGAAACAGAAGAAAGAAGAGAAAAAGCCAAACTGGAAAAGGTCTCGGATTCACTTTTCTACCTCTTGCACTGCCAAAGGCTTGGAAACACGTATGAGCTGAAAAGAGCAACGCCAGGAACACGTGTGCTGTTCTCTCCCAAAGGTGTCCTCAGGACAACAGTGGTTCCTGATGGACTTTTAAGCAAGTGGGGTGTCGGGTAAGGGCCACACTGCACCCAGCCCTGGCTCTCCACTCCAGTCAAGAACTTGCTGCAACTACAGAGGCCTGTCTCGGGCCCCCCTCCAGGCAGAGCTGCAGGGTCAGGGTCTCGGCCGTGAGCTCAGGAAACAGACACCCGGACACCTGAGGCTACTCATAAGCAGCCTGGAGGTGAGGCCCCGGCTGTCCTGGCAGACCTGCACACAGAGAGCACCCTGAGGACAGCCTGAAATACTGCCACTCTCTGGGATGCGCGGGCCACACGCCCGTCTCAAGGAGCCCGGGGGCACCCGCAGGGGCCACTGTCCCCCACCCTCCAGGAACGTGTGAAAGAAGACAGCTGAGGCCGAACCACCGCCACTTTCTTGCTCACAGAAGGAAAGATCTAGAAGGATGCGGCCCTGGATCTTGGTCCTAATTTGTTCACGTGTGGTGCCCATTCAGGGCCCCCGAAGAACAGCTCCGAGAGGCTCCCAGAGCAAAGCAGGGAGGCCATGTGGCCGGGGCCTGGGCTTACAGTCGCCAGCCAGTCAGCTCTTCCGCTCGCAAGGTGAGCTCAGGTAAACGCCTCGTCTCCTTTCTCCGCTGGGCAGTCTCTACCTGCCTGGCCCCTTGCCACCAGCCGGACAGAGGGTGTGCGGCGGCCAGCCCCGGGGCAGGGCAGGGGGCCGGAAGGAGGAACCAGGCGCAGGACCGACCTTCCAGCTCTGAGCTGGGTGCCCGCTGACCAGGCGCCACGAAAAGGAAGACTCTTCCAAGGGCACCCCCACCCTTCCAGCCAGGTGTGGCTGCCCAGCCCCGGTAGGTTTCACAGACCCCTTCCCAGTAGGGTCGCTCCGTAGTCCACTGTTGGGGCCGGCTCCCTCCTTCGGGCTCACCCAGCTGCTCTTTGTGGTGGAACCTCATGGTAGCCAGCCGAAGGGGAGTGAGCGGGCATGTCCTTCCACGATGGCCGCTGCCCATTGTTGGCACCCTGGGCCAAGGACTCTGCCCTCCGTGTCTGGGAGTTGGCTCTGTCCCTTCCCGTGAAAAGTGCCTGGGAGGGGCGCCTGGGTGGCTTGGTCAGTTAAGCGTCCGACTTCAGCTCAGGTCACGATCTCACGGTCCATGAGTTCGAGCCCTGCGTCGGGCTCTGTGCTGACAGCTCAGAGCCTGGAGCCTGTTTCCGATTCTGTGTCTCCCTCTCTCTCTCTGCCCCTCCCCTGTTCATGCTCTGTCTCTCTCTGTCTCAAAAATAAATAAACGTTTAAAAAATTTAAACAAAAAAAAAAAAAAGAAAAGAAAAGTGCCTGGGAGCACTGTGGAGGTGACACTCACCTGCCCAGGTACCAAGCCCCACCGGGGGCTACAGGCCTCATTTATGCTGTGTCACCAGTGAGGGCCCAGGCACCTCCTTGCTGTACTCTGGCATCTCCCCTGGAGAGAGGAGGCCTTCTGGAAGCCCCCAGTGACCTCCCCAGGGTTCTGCTGATCAAACTTGGTCCACAGACTCCTCCACTGCCAGTGACTAAGCAACAGTGGAGGGGAAGTCACCAGGGAGGCACAGACCCCCTCTGCTGTTGGCCCCACGGCCCTTCCCACGCTTCTGCCCTGAGAGCATCTCGGGGCCAGGCTGGGCCACAACCCTCTCCTTGCAAGGCATCTCTTACGTCTGGAGCTCCGAGAGTCACCCACGTTGTCTGTGCGTGCCTTCTCCCACACATGTGCCTCTGCTGTGCTCAGACAGCACCCAACAGCCCACAGGTCAAGGGGCCCACCCACAGAGCAGTGGGCAGCAGGCAGGGTGCAGAACTGGGGCATGGGCCACAGCCCTGGCATCCACGGTGTGGACGATGCTTCCCCCGGACACTTAGAGCAAACGCCCACTTGGTTTGAATGTAATTTTAAGACCACAGTACTTGAGCAATCTGACTTGCTTACCAAAAATGAAATGCAGACTTTCCCCTCAAGCGTTTGGGTGAACTCAGGAAGCCAGGCAAGTCTCTCTCTGCAGACGCCCAGGAAAGGAGAGGCGTCTGTGGGAAAGGAGGCCTCTGAGGGCCCAGGGCTGTGCGGTCAGCACCCTCCACGGGGTGCCACAGGGAAAGGGTGGGCCAATCCCAGTTCGGTGGGCTGCCTGGGCTCCAGGAGTCCCAGGAAGCCCCTCCAACACATGGGCCTCCACGTCACAAGGACCCGCCTTGGTGACACCCGGCAGGAGCTGGCAGGAAAAAACACCATCGCTCCTTAACTACTTTGCAGACATACTTGGGCCTTCACCACCAGGGGAAGAAGCTTCAGTAAGACGAGCCCACGTGAAACCCCACAAAGCACACAGGGAACAGTCACCGTGAGTGACGGCCACAACACGACACTGAAAGGTCTGAGAACAGGGACAGGAGGACACCCCCCAGGCTGGGGTCTGAGAGCCCTTCCCGCCCCTCTGGCCCCTGTGGCCTCCAGGGTGCCCCTCAGGTACTAGGTCCAGCACCCACGGGCCATCTGCCGCCCCTCGTCCTAGAGGATCTAAGCGTAGGCCCCAAGGCCCTGCTCCTGTGCCGGTCCCTCCTCGGCCTGGGTCCCGGGTCTCCTTCCCTCCTGCCCCCTGACCGCTGCCACCTGGCAGGGGCCTGTGCCCCGTCGTCACCGGCTTCTGTGCCCACATGGTCCTGGGGCTGGAGCGGTGCCAGAGCCCCTACGGACCTGTTCAAACAGGCAGGGCTGCCCGAGAACTTGAGTTTCTCACAAGCTCCCAGGCGCCTGCTGCCTGGGGGCCCTGCTCCAAGGAGTACCGTCCTTCCAGTTTGCTCACCCCTCCTGTGCTGGCCATCGCTCCTGCCGTCCCAACTCAGGGGGCTCTGAGGGCATCCCAACCCCACTGTCCGTCCCCCACCCCAGGCCCCAGTCCACACCAGCCTGCCCCCTTCCTCTTTGTGCCACAAACCCTCACACGGTTCTCCAAGCCCAACCCCCAGTTTCCCTGTGCTGTTCTGTCGGGGACCCTGAAACTTCCCTGTGGTCAGCCAGGGGACAGCACGTGTCCCTCCAGCCAGGGGCTTTGGGAGCCGACGCAGTTCCCTGGCACATGCACAGCAGGCCTCGCTGGCACCAAAAATGAAAATTCACGGACGTGACCCTTCACAGACAGAAACGAGTAACAAAAGGTAAAACACACACCTGTGTTTGCTTGGAAATAAGTCACCTGCTGGCCGAATGAGACAACATAATGAAAATCAGAAAACAGGGAAGAGGGACAACGGCTTTCTCCACCTCAAAACTCGTGACCAAGGGAACTTGGAGGGAAACGCACCGCTGTGGGCGAGTGCCTGGGAAAGAAGGACCGGAGAGTAAGGACGGCGTCCGACAAGCGGTGGTGCCCAGCGGCACCAGCCACGCCCACACACTGGCCACAGCGAAGACGCCAAAAGCGGAGCCCCGGGGGCAGCGCTACAGCTCGAGCTGGGGGCTTGCACTGCCCCCCTGGGAAAGCCTGGCCAGCAGCCACGATGACACAGAAGACACGGAAGCTTCCTGGGGAAATAAACCAGAAGCGAAACTCTGAACAGGCCTGGGTCCCCCGCCCCCCCGCCCCCTGCCCAAGACCCCCCGGGGAGGACTGTGCACTCTTCCCTCTCCCAGACTCTGGACGAACAAGTAATTCCTGTCTTCCGCCAGCTGCTCCAGGGACAGGAACGAAGGAACACCTTGTATGAGGTTAGTTCACCAGAAACAGACAGAGACAAAAACTCACAAACGCCACAGTGACCAGGGGAGACGCGTCCCAGACACGCGGGGGCGACTTGAGTTAGAGAATCTGTTCGCCAGACAGCACGGTCATGTTGCTTCAGTCTTGATCCCGAAGCCACCGTTACAAAATTGAAGGGAGCTTTTGACTTGCAGACAGCTCACAGACACGGCTCCCGCACGAGCCTGCGGCCCCTTCCTGCAGCACGCCTGCTCTGGACACCTGCCCCCGTGGGCCTGGCCCTCCTTGGGCGGCAGGAGGCAAGGCCGACACGAGACTCGGGCCTCATCCCTCCAGCCTTCACAGCAGGGACTTCTGTGTCCTCCCTGGGAACTAGGGCGACTTCACTCTTTTGCTGCCCCAGGGGAGCCAAGTACAGGGCACGGGGCCCGAGGGTCAGGCAGTCCCACTCCAGGGACAAAGCTACCCTCCAGGCACAGGCCACCACCAAGCAGCCTCCTTGCCAAGCCCACCGCCTCCTGCTGGACGACAGGCTGTCCCTGGGAGAGGAGGCCATGGGCGAGGCCAGCGTGAACCAGTGAGTACCCGGGCCCTACCCGGCACACAGGTGGTCATGGCCCACCGGGTCCCCTGTGCTGTGTGGAAGCCGAATGGTGGCCGCCGGCCCCTCCCTCCTGCTCTGAGCCCCAGGGGTCTGTGTCTACCAGTGTCTAGTGGGTGTCACCCCAAGCCCCAGCCCCCACGTGTCTGCCAGAACATCCGGACAGGGCGGCCCACTGAGGCCAGTGGAGGGCCCGCAACGCCCATGCTCACTCACCTGCCGCAGCTCTCGCGTGGACCACAGTGTCTGCAGGGCCTGCCGGAACAGGAGTGGGTCCTGGCCTGGGGGGACAAGACAAGGGCTATGCAGAGTCCACCAACACCCCCCCCCACCTTTGATCAACGCCTGGGGGCTTCCCGCAGATGCCAGCCAGTGCCCGTGGACTCCGGTCAGAGCTCCCCACTGCCCTTCCCTGTGACGCCAGCCTGGCCATCCTGACGTGCTCACTGGGATGGGCTTCTGCCCACAGCTTGGGGCAGCCCAGGCCTCATGTTTCAGCAACGGTGGGCTGCAGGTCTCAGACTGACCACACTGTGTGGGCAGGGAAGGGGCATCGGACCCCAGGGCCAAGCCCACAGCACTAACCATCAGGGCATGCCTGGTGGGCCACCGCGCCCCCACCCCTCCATGCCATGTCACAGCCCACGCCTGTCCACTGCCCACCAAGTGCGGCCTCCAGCCCCTGCTGAGACCCTAAAGTGGTCCCGGCCTCTGCCTCCCCTGGCTGCTCCCCAAAGCCTCTCCACCCACAGCCCTGGCCCTCTCTTGCTTGCCCAAGTCTCCAGCCCCACTGCAGGACTGCTGGCCGGGGCGGGGATCCCACTGGGACCCTAGGCCTCGGGGAAGTTGGGGTTACCCTCATGCTGGAAAAGGGACTGTGCCCTCAGACCAGGTTTAAGGTCAAGGCCTGGGAAGGTGGCTGCCGCCTGCTCTCCACTTTGGGAAAGAAAGCGGCCTCTGAGTCACCCACAGCCACCAGCGCCCCCTGGCTGCCTCCGGAGGGCCTGCCCCACCTCTGCGGCTACCTGCCCTGGGCCTCAGGGCAGGGCCACCCTGCTCAGCCCTTCTTGGCTCCCCACGGCCTCGCCACATGAGGTCACAGAAACCCCTTTTCTCTGTGCAAAAGCTCTGCTGCCGACACTTGGTTGCCACTGACCCTCGCCTCCCCAGTCCCTCCAGAACCTTGCAGAGCACAGGGCCCAGAGGGGGCGCCTCGTTCTTTCCTCAAGAACCATCAAGGCCATGTGACTCAGAGGTGGGGGGGGTGTCACTAACAGATTCCATAGGTCAAATCAGGGGGCTCAAGAGCATGGGTGGCTCACCCACAAATCTACTCAAGAATCAAAGACAAGAGCAACCCACTGGGCTCCTACAGAAGACCAGACGTGGAAGGAAAGGCGGGGACACCTGAGCCCAGCCCTGGAGGGCTGCCCACCTGAGCACACAGATGCAGGGACCAGACAAGGCAACAGTGGCTAGATTCAGTGCACAGCACGGGAGGAGGGATACGCTGGGTGCACTCTAGAAAGCAAGGCTGATCGACCCATGGAGGGTCCACCACTGTGGCTCGTTAATGGGACACGGGGAAACATTTCGTAAAACAAGCATTTCATAAGAGTAAATTCTATTCACGATTTAGGAAACAACTCTGCAACTAGACCACAGGCAACTTCATGACCCAGAAAGAAAGATGCTTATAAACAAAACCCCTCAGCAAACATAGAACTTAATGCTGAAAGCTGAAAGCAGGCCCCCAGCGACAGGGCCAACAGGAGGGCACCCACTGCCCATTCAGCACGGCCTGCAGGCCCCTGCCGGCTCAGCACGACACGAAGGAACAGTTGACGGCACAGAATTTGGAAAGGAAACAATAAAGTCAACACTACTCTGACAACCTCTGGTCTGTCCACAAGCGGAATACGACTCAGCGCTAGAAGAAATGAGCGGTCAAGCGAGAGAGGACACGGAGGGCCCTCAAACGCACACTCCTGAGCGGAGGAGGCCGTGTGAACAGGCCACACGCGGCAGGATCCCAGCCCCGCGACACTCGGGAAGAGGCGCGGCCATGCAGGCAGTGACGCGACGCCGCGGGAGGCCGTCACAGTGGACGCGCGTCACCACGCACGTGTCCCAGCCCACAGAGCACCGCCGCCAGGAGGGCCCGAGTGCCCACGGGGCCTCTCGACGATGGCGGCGTGTCAGTAGGGCTCATGAGGGCACCACACTGGCCGGGACGCGAGAGGCTGTGTGGGGCAGGGATATGGGAAATCTCTGTAACCTCCTGGATTTTGCTGTAACCCTAAAACTGCTCTAGAAAAAATAAAGTCTTTAAAAGTTAAAACAAAACAACAACAAGAAAAAACACTACTGCTCGCTGAAAACATAATTTTGTGGAGAGCCCTGAAGAATCTGAAGAGGTTCCTCAGTGGACACGTTTCTGCATGGACCCTCACCACCAGGCCCACAGTAAAGTCCGCTGTAAGCCAGCAAGTGGAGATGGGCGTCAGAAACAGTGGGGGCGCCTGGGGGGCTCAGTCAGTTGGGAGACCGACTTCGGCTCGGGTCATGATCTCGGGGTTTGTGAGTTTGAGCCCCACGTGGGGCTCTGTGCTGACAGCTTGGAGCCTGGACCCTGCTTCCGATTCTGTGCGCCTCCCTCTCTCTCTGCCCCAACCCACTCACATTCTGTCTCTGTCTCTCTCAAAAATAAATAAACATTAAAAAAAAAAAGAAAAGAAATTTCAAATAAAGGTGCGCCTGGGTGGCTCAGTCAGTTAAGCTCAGTTAAGTCCGACTTCGGCTCAGGTCATGATCTCGGGGTTTGTGGGTTCGAGCCCCGCGTCGGGCTCTGTGCTGACAGCTCAGAGCCTGGAGCCTATTTCAGATTCTGTGTCTCCCCCTCTCCCTACCCCTCCCCTGCTCACACTCTGTGTCTCTCTCTCAATAATAAATAAACGTTAAAAAAAAAAAAAAGAAACAGTGACAATGGCACAAAAAAATTCAGATTTCTTTGGATAACTCTAACAAACGAAATTCATGCAAAAAAGCCATAAAGCATTGGGAGTAAAATTAAAAGACCTATTGAAGAAGGGCCATCCCACACAATGGACAATGTGACGTTGTCACCTGTCCCACAGTTAACCATTCTGCCTCAGCCCAAACAGCGGGCTGGGTGTGTGTGTGTGTGTGTGTGTGTGTGTGTGTGTGTGTCCACCTGTCTTAACCATCCACCCAAATCACAGCGAGACGGGACTCCGACCCCACCCAGCCCCAAGCAGCACCCTAGCTAAGGCGAGCGGCACTGGCCCGGAGAGGGCAGGTGTGGACCAGTGTAAAGACCTCAAGTCAGAGCTGGGCACACACAGGACCCGATGGGTGACCACAGTGGCCCCAGGAACTGGGTAACCCTATTGAGAGGACCCTGGAGCATCTCCTGGCCTCACACCTACAGAAAATCCATCCCCCAGTTGTAGACCTGAATGTGAAAGATAAATAGGGCCTCTGGGAGAACATCTTGAAGACCTTGGGCTGGAGAGGTCTCCCAAAGAAGTCAATCACATAACAGATTCCCACTGATCAGAAGGACCCTGCAGGAACCGGAAGACGGCTCTCCTGTCCGGCCTGGTCCTGCCCTCACCGGGGGCTGTCTAAGGGCACAGCCCTGCTCCAAGCTGCTTTCCCAGCACCTAAGACCTGGGCCCCACTGGGAGCTATGCCCTGGACATGCCCCCCCGACTCGGCCCACACAGCTAGACCCTACACACGGGCTGAGAGGCTACCATCGGTCCCTCCCAGGAAGGGAGCACATTTGACCATGCTCACGGCTGTGGTCTGGGCCTTGACGGGTGCTCCACAGTGACCTCGGTGCCAGGGCCAGGCGTGCACGGCCACCAGCTCAGAGTGGCCTCAGGGAGACCTCTGGAGGGGACCTGAGGCCGGTCTGGGTGGGGTGAGGCATGGCAAGGGCGTGGCCTGGGTGGGCGCAGAGTTATGGGCAAGATGCAGGCAGGGGGTCAGGGAGGTCCCCTAGGCTGAGGGGGGGTGCTCCCAGACTGACGCCCATCCAAAGACACAGAAAGGGAGGACTTGGGAGGTGTCTGTCTAAAGGGTTAGATAAGCAAGCTCAGTGTCACTCTGCAGAACCCAGGGAGGGGCCTGTGTCCCCACTGCCCTGGCCTAGGGATTTAGGCAGGAGGCTGGGGCCTAGGAGGGCACGTGGGGCCTGGTGCCGAGGGGCCTCTGCCCACAGCCTGCCATGACCTCCACCTCCCCACCCCAGGCCTGGATCCGGGACCCGAGACAGATGGCCTCCGGCCTATACCTGGCCCCTGACCCCATCCCAGGACCACGCAGGTGGGGGCAGGTGGGGGGCTGTATGCAGGGAAGACACTGAAAAGACACTCAATCCCCAGAGCCAGACCTTCACCCCTGCACCCTGGGCTGCTTCTCCCCGCCAGGCACGTGGGCCTCACTGGCTGTCCTGGCCACAGCCCTCCCACACACGTGCCTGGGGGCCACAAGGCAGCCAGGGGCTCGGGCAGAGGCACGGGATGGCCCACCTTCTGCCCTGCCCCCTCCCATCCC